AAGTTGTGTCTCCGTTTCTCACATTTCTGTGACAAGTTTATGTATAGCTGATACCGCGAACTAAGGTATGCGCACAACCAACCTCAACCCCAAATTTAGACCTCCCTATTGGGTGGGAGGTGGGTCTGTCAGGCAGTTTTGCCTCCATCAAGAGCATACGAAAGTTCACTATGCTGCCGTCCGTCCCCCACTTACCTGTGGCAGACTCAAAAAGATTTCTTAAAACTCATATAACTATAGAAATCACCAGATCGTGGACTTAACAGCCAATTCCCCCTCGGTCCAACCGTATAGAACGATCTTCCTCCGTGATTCTGGAATTGCCAGGCCCATACTTATCTTTCCCTAGAATGTTACAGCCATAGTATAGTACTACGTCATCATGTACACCCAGAGGGGCCTATTTCTGTAAGTAAAATGACGTCAATGAGCTCGAACTTCGTGAAAACACTAACCTTGTCTGTCTACCGACCTCGAACTACGTAAGGAAAAGAGTTTTATTCTCACTGCAATACACTTACCTACATCCAGTCACTTAACTTTCAGTTAGTGTCTTGATTTGAAGTTCTATGGCATCAAAAGGTATGGGGAGAATTTATAAGATCAGTGGGAATATAAATGCTCAAATATGTGTAAAAGGAATATCTGAGCGCAAACTGAAGTCTTTTACACAGTTACTGAACGTTCCCAAAATAATGCAGCATCTATATTTGTATAGGATTTAGTTTCATATCACATTGCTGCTCTGTGCAAACTTTAGTTTCAAGATAATTGTTCACTTCCACGCCTGTCGAATTAATTTCTACCTTTTCGTTGCCCTGCGTTGGCAACATGCTTTTGAGATTGGTCGTTCGTAGGATTCGGTCGCTAAAAGCGTAGCTGGCCTGTAACGGTTGTAATTATTATTTTATGCTTATCTGTACTTCTGAATTATTACTAAATGTTTACGTGTGAATGTTATATTATTAAATGTATTCAGTTTGGTTGAAATAGACCGAGAGTGACTGAATTTATTAAGTATAATCAAAGTCGAAACTTCGTCATTCATGTCGGCGCCATTCTAATACGAGGTACGTAAACAATAATCATATTTCACTGCTGGAATCATCTGGGTTTCCTTAATTCCTTTCTGGGCCCAGACCTTCCTTAATTTATGCTACCGATTAAAAAACTTGTTAAGTAGAAACACTCCTCAATAAAACCTGATTAAAAGACGCAATAATCAGATTTTGGCTTCGCACTATAATAACCAAAATACTTGGGAAGGCGTTGTAAAGCGGTAACTAAAACTAAAGGTTACCTAATTAAATATTAAATGACATGATGAGAAAATCCGTTCATTTCATTTTTTCTGTTTGCTTTACCTTTCTTCTTTATGCTTGTGCGCTTCTGTAAATAATATCTCATAAATGTCATTGCATTACGTTCTTGATTAAACTAATTTTCCATTGATTTATAATTTTATAGAGTTATTAATCAAAAGCGGGATTTTATAGACCATCATACCTCAAAAATACGCTCTTTCTAAAAGGTTTCTATAACATATTTTTATCGATGTACAGTTTTTATAATATTACTCCCAAAAAACGTGTCTTGTAGAACATCAAACCTCGAAATTATACTTTTTTGAAAAGGTTTCCACAATTTTTAACAATTCTGTGCATAAAATAATTTGAACACAAAATTAATTTTTCTCAAAATTTATTTTTACGCGGTGTCCTTACTTAAAGATAGATGAAACTAACAATATCCCATTTTTATGAAACTCTGTGTGTCTTGCCTTAATATTGTTTTCCAGAACATGTAGTAAAAGAAAGCCGATCATTTAAATCTTTTTTTAATAATGATTATTTTTTAGTGATAGCGTGGTAAATATGCCTAAAACATTTTTGCTTATTATAATAGCCTTTCAATAATAGTCCAAGCATAAGGAAGAATTGGCCCACCAGCGGCCGAGCGGTAACGTCGCTGAACACTGGTAGTGCGGTCCGAGGTTCGAATCCCGCGAACGGGCTGGCTGCATGGGTATTTTCGTGGTTTTCCCATGTGTAACGTGTATACGAGACAGTTTCCCTTAGAAAGTACTCCCCCGAAGGCATCCCTCCCTTAAGGCAGATAGCCCTCAAGTGCTTTGCCGTAATCTAATAAAACCAAAACTAAAACGAAACCATAAGGAAGAATTATATGGTTCAGTTTAGTACTGTTGTTTCGTAGATAAAACTGTATATTTTCCGCGTCTTATTTTTGAAATTTCAGAAAATTTTCTCTGAATTTCTAACACTTAATTAACTCTTCTGTAAAATTATAATGATTTACTTTAAATATTGACAGTCTCTATTTAATGTTCATGAAAATTGAAGCTGAAAATAAAATTCAAGTATTTTTACAGTATATTTAAAAAAAGGGGTTCTGAACCTGTACGAATACCATAATGTGAATGTATTAAACATTTTTCATACTACTATACTGAAATTAAAATTATTAACTAATTTAGATGAACGTGGGACTGATTTAGATGAACGTAGAAAGGTTCACAGACTTACTATATAAAAATTAAGGACTTTTTTGGAGGAAGGGTAATTTTAGAAGGAGAAAGCTGAAAAGAGTAATTAATTCACGTTGGAAATTTATTAATTTACCTTTTTCTGACTTATTCATGTTCTGTAATGGGGAGTTTTAAAGCTTAACATTATCGATGCATGTAAATCAAATTGCCAAAGAATATTTATCATGCATCTTCTAGAATTTAAAATCTGATTTATAATTTCGATAACTACTGAAGAAAAAGCATAAAAGTCAAAGTTTGAAGAATTCTGGCAATTTTAATTAACAGAAGGAAATAGTAGTTAACAAGTTCTGACTGCATTTAATAGGGAAAATTTATTTATAATGATAAGAAAATCTTTCATAAAAGCTTTTTGAATAGAGACAAAAGATGCTGAAACAATTGGGTTTATTAACAATAAAATATTAAAAAGCGTTATGGATATGTAAAATACATAACTGGAAAGAAGCCATTTGTGTCTAAGAGCGCGACAAGTTTTAATACTGAGATGAATGAGCAGGACTGTCGTACTGACACTAAATTCATTGCTTATAATTATAATGTCAAGGATAAGGAACCCTTGATTACATGTTATTAATGCCAAGGAAAGGTAGAAAGTTCAGAGACTGAATTTCAATCATGAGTTCGAAGAAATGATGGATACAGAGATCTAAAACGCAAAACGATAGCCTTTTAAAAACCTGATTTCGAAATATTGCATATAAATTAATATATAATAATATGTCTGAAACATGAAAGAAAACCCGAGAAAAAGGCAAATATAATGCAGAATATTATTCTGAATACATATTCTGATAACGTTTCGTACTATCTAACGGAATCTGAGCAGAAAGACAGGGCTGGATGTTTCATGCAGTACATTTCATTGAAGGCATCTGTTGAAATTAGCATTTTTAATAGTTTTGAAATTTTAGATTTCTTAAAAGACTAGTTTCTCGAACAAACAGAACATACGAATGCTTTGAAAAATTAAAATTCAGTTCTTCAGAAACTGGAATTCTTCATATCTTAAATTAGACAAAAATGTAGGTGTTGCATTCTTATTCGTATGATTTCTTTCTAATAAGTAAGACTGCATTTTAATATCAATGAAATTCTCAACCAATAGTCATTATCTCATAAAATAATTTTTAAACAGACAGCAGTTTTCAAACTAAATTGGACATCACCACAAAGTCTACAATTGAAATTCCTTTTGTAAATTAATACGAAGAATGACGATTTTTGTGCAATTAAGACGGTCAAAAACGTTTTACTTTTCTATTTCATCTACGCTTAAGTTTTCAGCTAAAAGTAGTTCATTTAGAATGCTCAAAGGAAAACAGCTTTTTTTTTTCAAATTGTACATTCTGTTTACACCTCAAGATTTTATTTCACTTACATTTCCAACTCGCATTAAGCCATCCCTCAAATAAAAGCACTATTGGAAAGTTGTACCAATCATATTGAACTTTATAAAAATCACTACAAATGGCTAATTTAAAAAATGTTTGAATATTAGATATGCTAATGTTGGAAAAAGTAATAAATAGTAAGGTTTTCATTCATTATTCTGCCTAGAAAACTGTGCAGTAGATACGAGTACAAATCTGGAGTAGAAGGCTGCTTTAAGTTTAGGTATGCATTTAATATTGATTCATTGAGGCAATCTATTATTAAAAGTGCAGAAGATTAACTAAGAACATAAGCCAAATTGTAATATTTATGAAGAATATGACTATAAGAATCTGTTATTAGTTTCGTCTAGTATATTACTATGATGAAAAAATTACTTATTCACAGATATTGTTGATTTTAAAGCTTCCCAGCAATGATTTTTAATCATTTCATTGCCAAGTTTTTTTTTACAAAAAACTTCCATTAAGACTTGCCGACAGCAAAGTTTAATAGTGAGTTCCGGAATTTGTAACTTTCGAAACTAAATTTTCGAAAAGCGAAAGTTAATCTCTCCGAATTTTAACTTAAAATACTTCCACTCAAGGACGTTTATTTCGATGAAAACGAAATCTGCTACTGATACTGTTTCACTCATGTAAAAGATTCGCAGCGCAAATTTATTTGCTTATTAATCACGCTACAGTTTTGTGTTTTCTGGATTACGTATTCCGAAGTAAAATATTTAACCTCAATGCAGCATTACCTAGTTTTACTGCTTGAATTAATAACTTCTTCTGAAGCACTAAAGTCTACTGTTGACCAAGGCAGTCTCAATCAGTTGATTTAATAACTAGAGATGTGAAATAATAAAATTCTGCAGCATTATTTCTGGATACTTAACAAAATTATCAGTAATACTGTTAACTTTATTTTAGAAAAAGTGAACATGTTTAGGTTTTACATTTCAAGAAATCCTAGCTGATTTCGAAGCTAAAACATATACCAGACCGCAACGAAGAAATATAATGGAAATAAATGCCCTTCATAATTCACATACCTTTCACATCCTGTTTCCTAAGCCACCAGCCGAGGAAACTGATAATTTTCATTACAACAGACATACGGAGCACGCTATTTACTTTTATTCGGGAGAAACTGCTATTGATATTACCGGACTGTAACAGCAAACTCTCAAGGTATAAAAATAGGGTTGCTATACTCTTACTCATTATGTAATTCAAATCATCATAATTTCTTTAGTTGGAAAACGGGGGCAATTTAACCACTGACCATTAAGCAAATGCCAAGGCGGAGCTATCTTCGCCAAGGCCTGCCAGGGCTGACCAATCAAAAGATATGGTAAAACAGCTTAAAGGTGTATGACCACGAGAAAAAAGTTTCAAGAAAGAGAAAAAACTAATTCGCATTCTAAATGTTATATACCTTTGAGACGATGCAGTATGAATAACACATTAATATAAAAATGAAAGATAAGGCATGTTAGGTAGATACCAAATTAAAAAAATATCAAATATATTGTGGAAACCTTGATAACTCAGATTTTCACATACTGGTGTTATAGCTGATGCTAATGTTATATTACGGGGAAAATGTACAATTATGTGTAACTTTATTTATTGTAAATAAAACAGGAATACAACAAAGTACCTGAGTATAAAAATGGTTTTTTAGCTACATTCTAATTTCAAATATGCCCTAAATTTTAACACTGCTCTGATTAATACATACATGTGTGTGTGCGCGTGTTTAACAAATATTGCGCTCTTTCGACCTATGACTGTAGTTTCGGTTTTAAGTGTTTCGGAACTTCAATCGATTAGTTAATTGGGTAAGGCAAAGTATACGGCAGCGATCTGTCGAAGAGATAGAATATTCTCATGGAGGACCTCCTAATGCAGTAGTTCTCAACCTGTTTTGGCACATGCATCCATTTCATCATTGCTAGAAACATTCCCACTCCTGCTTTCCAAAACTCGAAACACACACACACACACATATATATATTGTAATAATAAAATTCCATAGTCAAGAATACACTTAAAATTCTAACTGTATTTTTTTTTTTTTTTTTTTTTTTTTTTTTTTTTTCATTTTTAATGGCGACGGTCTCTTATTTGAAAGTACGTGGAATTAAATCCACAGCCCCGTAGTCAAGTTGTTTTCCCCGCCTTTTCTACACGTACAGTTATAGAATGTTCTGGAGATATTTAAAGCGAACTGGAATGGCTGACGTCATTTCTTGGAAGCTCCGCCTTTCCAGAAGCTATGAAAGGACTCGCAAAGGAATATCAGGGTCTTTTCTTTAATGTAACGATGCAGTAAACTTCATACAAAAAGTTATTAGTAATTCTTTTTTATTTACTCCGGAAATATGATTTTTGTAACTGCTATTTCTCCTGACCAATAATAAATAGATCCTGTTATCGGAAATCTGTTAAATTATCCCCAGACGATAAACTTATCGTCTGATAATTTAAGCTATATTTCTTCACCAATCTATTTATTCCGGACAAAAGCTGGTACATCACACACACACATACACACACACACATATATATATTAAGATTTAGATTATTTTTAATGTATCGTGTAAATTAAACAGCAGAATTACAGAAGATATAAATAAATGTCAACACTTGAATAAAAATAGTTTTTATTTTCATAAACTAATTAAAATGCTGACCTCATTTCCTTCCTGAAACTATGAAATTTCCCCTAGTTCAGAGAACCTGCTCTTGAGAAACTGATTTGAATTTGCATTATATATGAACAAAACTATGGTAACTATAAAGCCAGTCGCTCCGTCAGGATTCAAATCCAGTCTTTCCATTACATGTGGTTTTTACTACAAATAAAAATCTGATGTGGACACCAAATGACTTCTACACACTTTTTGCTGCATTTCATTTAGACTTATCTCCTCGAATTTTCATTAAAGATATATTTCTTATTCATTCAATTCAGTTCTCACTTCGCGGCAAAGCGAAAATACATAAAAGCTGAAAACATCTTCATTAGAATTTGTAAAATAGAAAAATCCTAAAACACCGAATACAGTTAAAAAATCAGTTTTTGAAATTCAAATTAGACTAATCGGCAAATAATTCGGCTAATCGGCAGAAAGAAAAAAAAAAAAATTCGGCATAGCGAAATTTAGTGAACTTTTGATCGAACTGTGTGAAAAGGCACTGACGTTGGTGCACCAACTGACTTAATTCATTATTTTACTAAGAGTTGATTAGATTATATTAAATGTAAACAAATAGCGGCTTAGCGCCACTTTAACTTTCAAATTGTTAATAATTCTAAAAATACTGCATACGGATTGGCTAAAGGCATAAGCTTAACCGGAACATAAGAACAATATAATTCTATCACTTTTAAAGGAAAAAAGAATTACCAACATATAAGAATAAAAAAACTGAGCTAACCGAGACAAGTAAAAGGAGTGGGAGGAATATATGTATATGTAATATATATATAAGAGGGGTGTTCAAAGGAAAAGGTGCGAAACTTCGTAACAAAAAAACCGGTTGAAATTTGAGTATGCCACTTTGGGATAGAGATTCCTAGGGACGCGAATGTAGTGCCCGGCGTTATTGTGAGCATGCGCGGCCGCCAGCACATTACGCAGGAGTGAAGTAGGCAGTTGTGTGTTTCGTCCAATTGAAGTGGCAGTGCGAATGTGAGGAGGTAATGGCATTCATGTTGCAAAATTCCACGATTGAGGAACAAGGAGCTGTTATCGATTTCTGACTAAGGAAGGGGTTAAACAAGCCGATATTCTTCGCCGAATGATGGCCCGTATGCGGAGGAGACTGTGTGTCCCACCAGTCAGTGAGAACGGTAAGTGCCCATTTTCGTGAAGGCTGGAAGTGTTTGAGAGATGACCCGAGTTCAAGCCACGCAAACACGGTACGCGGCCTAACTCATCGACAAGGTGAACGACCTTGTGAAAAATGATCGGCGTGTCACAATGTGAATGTTGGCAGTGATGGTGGGGAGAGGCAGCGTTAGAATTGTGCACAAAAGTTTGGGTTACCAGAAGGTATGCGTGCAGTGGGTTCCGAAGAAGCTCAGCGAACCGTAAAAAGAACTGCGAATGGGCCTAGCAATGCAATACCTGTTTCGATATCATGAAAACCCCGCTTTCTTGGGCGAATCGTTGCCGGTGACGAAAGCTGGCTCCATTTCTTCGAGCCGGAGACAAAGCAGGACAGCATGCAATGGAAGCCTGCATCGCCACATACCCCTAAGTATTAATTAACAGTAACGTATACTGTGACACACTCCGTAACATAGGCAAGTCCATCAAGAGCAAACGGAATCTGCTGCTCACGGCGGAAGTGATTCTGCTCCAGGATAACGCGCGTTCACATGTCTCCAAGGACACACAAAGTGTAATGACTAAGTGGGAGCAGCTTGAGTTTCAGCCCCGACATGTCACGCTGAGATTTCCATATGCTTGGTCTGCCTAAAACACATCTGAAAAGGAAGGGCTTTAACTCGGATGACGAACTGAAGGACACAGTGGAGGTCTGGCTCCTGTCACAGATACAGGAATTCTGGGAACAGGGAATCCGTCGGTTTGTGAAACAGTGGGATAGTTGAGCTTATGACTGTGGTGATTACTTGTAAATAAAGACTTCAATTATACCCATAGTGTCGTTTCGTACCTTTTCATTTGAACACCCCTGAACTCCACAAAATACATCCCTCAAGAATTCCAAGTCCCACCCACTACCATAAATTTCTTCACCCAAGTCTTGCCGACTGATATAATTCAAAGCCCCTACTGCCGCTAAGAATATTCGGACACCCTACACTTCTGAGTCAGACACGAAGAGAACACACTGCCAACTCCCCCACTAGAAAGAATGTAAGTTACTTAATACCTTTCTGGCCTTTATATCTTCATGTACATTCACTGATCTTATTTATATTATTTTCTATTTTATTTTTATATTTTTATATTTTATGTTCTCTTTGATTTGTTTTTGCAAAGTTTGCATTATTTATCTTTTTTTAATCTTCTATGTTTATTTCAACTTTACTTTGATTTCGATTTCATAATGACAATTTCCAATGTTTAATTTCTACAAATAATATAGTACTCAAATACATAAAGATGATAGTGTCGGGGACGATTACTCGAGTTTTACAAGATTTCTCTACAGTAATTGATTTTTACTCCAAATTGAATTGACTAAAATGCTTCATGAGAATCAGTTCTTTGAGTAACAACTATTCGCGGAAATATTTGGCCTGACTAGAATTGCCGGTTTGGCTTTAATTTATAACTCGAGTAAAGACGAAACACTTTCATATTTACGTATTTCTATCAATTATTGATCATTGAACGGGAGTTGGTTTGTTCCCCTTGAAAAGTCAACTAATTTCCGATCAATGACAATAATTACATGTTTTAATTTTTACTTTTACAATTGTAATATTATTCTTCGTGATGATTTAACTCCGGTCCCGGTTAAAACATTATTAACATTTTGCTTTCAAATTACTTCAAAACATCTTTCAAAAATATAACTTACCAGTATGGATGCACACTTTTAAAATAATTCTACTTTAATTAAACTTAGGAGATAATATAATCAATTAATCAATACGGTTTAGGAAATAAATTAATATATATATATATATATATATATAATTAAAAAGCTAAGTTGTAAGTATAAAATATATATGTATATATATATATGTTCTCACTCTGTTATACATACATATATACTTTTATATATGAATATATGTAAAGAGATGCACCACAGCCAGATGCTACAGCAATCGCATGCACAAAATTTTAACGTTCTACGGCGACTTGTTTCGACTTTTGCAAGTTACATACTTATGTAAAGACATCACGAAAAAAACCTCTCCTGAATCCATCTTAAATCCTTTTTACAGTCCATTTTGGAAAAAAAAAGTGTCCTTTATTCTTTCCTTACGTACAAATATCACGCAAAAAAATCCATCTTAAATCCTTTTTACAGTCCATTTTGGAAAAAAAAAAGTGTCCTTTATTCTTTCCTTACGTACAAATATCACGCAAAAAAATCGTTCAAATGGATTTGAGAGCGACGAAAATAGATATTTTCTTTGGAATAGGATAAGAGAAATTTTTCGCGATTACAA